TAACAGCTTTGCGGAAGGCCTGGAGGGTGGTGAGGGTTCAAATCTCCACGGGGAGATCGTTCCATAGGGTCGGAGCAACCACCGAGAAGGCCCTCCTGCGCGTGGTTGCCAGTCGGCATTGACCAGCAGATGGAATTTTATAAACAAAAATTGCAATAAAATCTGATTCTTTGCTGCATACCGTTTCATATTTATTTAAAAAAAAATTGGAGTGTGATAATAGGCCTCAATACCTGGCACATTTCCTATAAGATATATCTTAGCTCATCTGAATTGAGCCTAGCAAATAGGTATCCAATGATATAGTAAGGTTACACCCCCCCCACCCCCAAATAAGTGAAAACGATAGATCTATAAAACATTGAACAAGGAGCAGGGAAAGAGCCTGAAGGCATCACATCATCTTACTTCTACAACTATATTGAATATTATAGCAATCATCTCTCAAGGCATATAGAGGAGGCGGGGGAAGCTGTAAAGCTGTATCTGAACAAGGTAAATGACAGGTAATTTTAGGCAGGACATTATTAAAGTTTAGGCAAGCAGAACTAACACCAATGACATAGGAGGAACTTTTGCAAAAGTAGATTATGAAATGTATATCCTTCAAATATGCTGACCTTGCATAATTTACACAACCTCGGTTGACCTCAGAGAAGGACATGTAAGATTGGGAAGAATCTACTGCAGTCTTCCTTAAGTGGTTTCCCTCGAGACCTTTTGGACACCAAGGACCAGTTCCATGGAGAGAGGTTTTTCCATGGACCAGCGAGGTTGTGATTTCGTGTGTTGCCTGCATCCCATGGGTGGGGCTTCACTTGTTTGCACGGACCGGCTTTTGGCATGCTGGGAAATGGTGCCGGTCCACGGACCGAGGGTTGGGGACCCCTGTTCTCTACAAGCTAGACTACAACATCCATTGCTTCCATACAATATGGTCAGAGGCTCAGAGCTATTTGGAGGAAGAGAGTCCCAGGTATCTGGAGAGGGCCAGATTAAGAAAAACCATTCGATTCTTTCGCAGATATTACGCTTAAATTATATTAAGTCTCTCTGGATTCCACCAACTGCCCTTGGAAGTAAAAAATAGACGGTTGGATGGCCCGCAGCCAGCCTAAACATTCAGGAAATGTGAGGCCAAAAAAACAACAACACAAAAAACCATATCCCCAGGGGAAACTTATTTTGATTCTTTTAAGACAATTTAGAATTTAGCGTGGGGGACAGAAAAGTATCAGGCCATAAATGTGTTTTATACGTTGTGTTAAGATACAGTTTATTTAACTGGTTTCCTGAATAAACCCCAATTGATTAGATTAGGATTAGGATTTATTTCATTTATATGCCGCCCTTTTCCCCGAAGGGGACTCAGGGCGGCTCACAATTCAGTCCGGGAAGGGGTACAGACAGGGAGTAAAAAAACAAACATAACAGTACACAATTTAAAAACACACA